ATGCACAAGAAATTCCTGTTTTAGCTGTTTGAGGTTAAGCACCTGAACTGTCTCAAAAATTAAGCATAGAAAAAACTAACAGATGCTCAGTGTTGCCTAAACTTGTATTTTTGAAGGCAATTCTTAAAGGATTATCCACACAACAAAATTAATAATCAAATGTTTAGTAGAAGTGTCCACTTCAAACCCAGCACATCCTTTCCTCCAGTCCAATGTCAAATATACAAAAGAACCAGCATAAGCAAATCAATGGAACAGTAGTTCATACACTACAGAGAATCATCCCCAGCCAAACATTTTTCCCGCATCTATGGTAGCAATTTATTTTGTGCCATTCTGTTTTTTTAACTTATTAAAAATGTAATTAATTGAAAATTTACTGAGTTCCGCTGTCAGCACTTTTGTTTTTAAAGCTTACGAGCACTCAAGTATTATTAGTAACAGATCAAGAAAAGAACCTCTCACCAAAGCAAGCACACACTGTAGGAAAAAGAGTTCATAATAAAAGATTCCCCACCCCAGAGTGTGCTTAAAGGGCCTCTACAATTCTGCCACAGGCTTCGGCAGAAGGTTGAGAGTTCATCAATAACTTGCCACTTCCATTGCAGTAGAAGTGGTAATTTGAGATGTAGCATGCGAGGGGAACGTTAATAAAACAGCCTGAAGAATCTGGCCATCCGCATAAGGAAGAGCTGAAAGAGTGTCATGCAGTACACTGGAACATTTTTCCAATAGACTGAACTGACAAATGGAACACTGGTACATGAGAAAGGAAAGCTGAATTCAAGACAATATGAAAGCTACATAGGGACCTAGAACCGGACATGGCCTCTTGGGGTGTCCAGTCCAGTCCCTTGCTACACCTAGCAAACCTGAAATAAATCCACTGTTATAGTGGAGAAGTTATGAACTCTGCGCTGTATTTATTGCAACCCAACATTCACACAGAGTATCCTAAAATGCTTTACAGAACTAAACATAACAGCTAGTTAAAAACAGTAGATAGAAAGAGATGAGGCATATGCAACAGAAAGATATATTTCAGACTAGATTTGAAATGAGATGGAGAAATACAGGGGGGTTATTCCAGATGACAAGTGCTGAGACTGTGTTAAAGCAACACACATCATCACTTGGAAATCTAGTCAGTTTAAAAACAGTTAAAAGTCGTTTCAGCTATTATGCGTGAAGAGTAACAAGATGCGAGGCAAACTGGAACAAGTACACAGAATGCTTTCAAAACCCGGCAGCACAATTCTGAACTAGTTTCTCAAATAGATGAGAAGCAGTAGATGCACTTCAAGACTACAATAAAGGGGACCATATAGGACCTGGCTAGATAAGGTGATGAACCTGGGTGTCTCTGTTAACATCAGAAAGCCAGCAGCACTCTGCACACGCTGGGGAACAGGGACTTTAGGAGGTCAGAGAGAAGGGAGCTGAAATAACCAGTGAGAAAGGAGATAAAGACATGGGGCAGGATTTCCTAATTACCTTCGACAGCTCTCCCAGATCAGGTCTCACCCAGCCCAAGTTCTCCAGCACACAATTATCAAATGCCAGCTGCTGGTTTCGGCAACGACGAAGCTCTTGAAGGTTGGTATAATCAATACAAGTCCAGTATTCAGTAAAAGGTTCTGCACAGTGTGCCTTAATCTTCCTATGAAACAAAGGATTTTAACTGTGTTATTTTGGAAAAGACAAGGTAGCTTATAAGAGCTAGATTAGCAAAGCTGGCACTCTCCCATTCACTCCAGCCCCAAACACATGAACCAATTTCCAAATGGTTGCCATTCAGTAGTTATTTAGGAAGTTTATTTTCCGGATGGTATTCATAAAATTGTAAAGTCTGCCAATTTTGAAAGTAATAGATAAAAGAAAGATTAGTAATAAATAAAAAAAATGACGACACATGCATGGCATTTCACAGAATACTACTACTCCCTGTCAAGAAGAGCTTACAGTCTAAGCATATGAATTTATAATTCCACACTGATCTCAAGAGAGGTCTCTATTACCCTTTAAATAACTACAATACAATTATTAATATGATTGTTAAGCTCAGTCAGCTTTCAGACACCATTCTGATATCTCACTTATTGCATGCTTATTTTAATAATGTAACATGAATGCTCTTTTCATGATATTTCACTGCTTCCAACTTTGATTTTTTTTTACGCTTAGCAAGACACATGCTCTTAAGGTCTATTATTAAGGTTGCGAGTCTGTTATGAAGGTCACAGATTCTGTGACCTCGTGACTTTTGCAATGGCTGGTGATGTCTCAGGGGCTGCCCGAGCTGGGCAGCCCCTGGGCCAGCAGCAGCAGTTTGGGTGTGTGGGAGGGGGCTAGGGGCAGGGGGTTGGGGAATGTGGGGGGGCGCTTACCTAGGGATGGGGAGCTCCCCAGGTGGCTCCCACTGGCATGGCCCCCCCTGCAGCTCATAGGCAGCCGGGGGGGCTCCGCGTTGCACACTGCCCACGCCCGCAGGCCCCATCCCCACAGCTCCCATTGGCTGCAGTTCCCGGACAATGTGGCAGCCAGCGCTTGTGGCGGGAGCAGCAGAGCCCCTGCTCTGGCCCCTGCCACCTAGGAGCTGCAGGGACACGGAGCCGGGTAGGAAGCCCCTGCCAGCCCATCCCCCCCCCCCCCCAGTGCCAGCGGGGGTCCCGAGCCACATCCCCCAGCACCCACGGACTGCCCCCCCGAGCACCCATGGCCCCCCACCCAAATTTTAGTCAGGGTGGGTATTTTTAGTAAAAGTCATGGACAGGTCACAGGCCTGTGAATTTTTGTTTACGACCTGTGACCTATTAATGGTTTTTACTAAAAAATACCCATGATTAAAACATAGCCTTATCTATTATTAATATTTATAGTGTAATAGCACCCAGGGGCCTCAATCAGGATCAGGCCTCACCTTGCTGGGTGCTATACAAACACATACAAAGAGGTGCTCTGCCTCTAAGACTATGATCCTCCAAACATTTCTATGCACATGATTTCAGTCATGTGAGGAAAGTTTTGTACTTATTTAAATGTTTGCATCATTGTGCCCCAAGATGACAAAGGATGGAGAAAGCAACTCACATAACAAGTCTGACATTTTTAAAAGTATAGTCCCAAGTTACTGAAGCCCAGATACTCCTGATCATCATCTTCAGACTTTCAAACAAAGCCAACTTGCCTTGTGGCTGTGCCCAAGCAAGAGAAGTCAATAGAACAGAAAGAGTGTGGGTCACTGTTTTTTTGAACAACTGAAAACTACTGAATACTTTGCCTTCCAACTAGCAGAGAGTGTCCACTTTTTCTCTTACTTAATTGGCCTCTCAGAGTTGGTAAGACAACTCCCACCTGTTCATGCTCTCTGTATGTGTGTGTATATATATATATCTCCTCAATATATGTTTCACTATATATGCATCCGAAGAAGTGGGTTGTAGCCCACGAAAGCTTATGCTCTAATAAATTTGTTAGTCTCTACGGTGCCACAAGTACTCCTGTTCTTTTTGTCCACTGACACTCTCTATTGAGGAAGCACTGCCTCCAACCCTCAGAAGTTCAAGTCAAGGGAACAGCAACAACACCTCAAAAGTTTAAAAATAGCATGATCATCTCAGCTATAACTTAAGAAAGTTGTTATTGTAATGCTTGTGTAAAAGGCACCACACAGGTAGAAGCTATGCCGGCTGACACTTCAGGACAGTCTCTCTCCTCCTATGTAAATACCTTAAGCAGACAGGTAGCAACATACAGCACATGCTCACTTCATCATCATACTCTTTTGAAGCACTAATTAAAAATAAAGTGAGCATACTGTGTCAAAGTGCTGAAGCATGAAATATATATTTCAATTTAATACTTTAATCTTGGTTTCGATAGGGATCGCATATGCTACAGGCTACGCCCAAGTAAAAATCTCATTGACTTCAATATGAGTTTTGCCTAAATAAGATCTGCAGGATCCAGCCCTAAAACTGGATTTGAAAAGCCACCTGAGATTCTTACCTGAAAAACTCCAGTGCACATTGATTGACTTGCTTCCCTTCCTTTAAGCATTTCCGGGGGTCCTTCTCCTCCCAGCGGCACAGCATGAACTCCTTGTTGGGCTTGTCACACTGCGAGCCATAGTGATGGGCGGCCGCTTTCAGCACGGCGGAGCTGACGCTCACCTGAGGAGTTGGGGGAGGAAGTGTTAGCATCAGTGCGAGTGCACAGCCCAGGGCAGGGCCCATCACTAAGCACCGGGCAGGTGGCACTCGGGCACAGGGTTTCTGGTCCCCTCTGTGTTCGGGGTCTGCTCTCTGCACCCTGCTCGCACCGCTCTAGGGCAAGTGACCCCACCATGAACAACCACAGCCTGAGACGGGGGGGGGGGGGGGGGGGGGGGCAGGGGGCCCGGAGCGAGGTGGAGGCAAGGGGCCCTGTCCGGTGCCCGAGCCCGGGGGAAGAGAGGGGCGGGCGGAGGCAGGGGGCCCGGAGCC